ATCTGGAATAAATTCTAGTATTTAATTCGAGATCCTAATTAGAAGCATAAATGACCACCTTGTGACAATATTGGAATAAAATTGTTTTTAAGAGAAACCTATTATTAGATGTTTATCTGTTGCTTTCTTTTATTGACAATAAAATATCTCGGGGCTATTTCAAATAATCACTTGTGTATGTTAAGAGATTCTGATTTTAAAATGAAGGGCAAAAGTTAAATACACTTTAATTTGTTTTCAATTTGAGAAGGTAAATACGAATTATGTCATTCAGGTATCACCTTCTTTTTCAGCATTTATTCCTTATTCTTTTTAATTTGCACAATACACTTCTATCATTTCAAGGCCAAATAATAATAATGTAATTAAATTAAATTCACTGTAGTTTTTACTCTTTTCTCATTCTGAAATATCTGTATATTGAAGCCATTTATACATTGGGCTAATTCGAATGTCGTTCATTAAGCTGGAAGCCTCACTTTGATATAAGAGTTAAAATTCTGGCCTCGCAAAGTATAAGAAATCCTTTCGTAACTTGTTCCTGCATTGGTTTTTTTTGTTTAGCGGCATATCAGCACCTCTGTAGGTCAGTTAATACCGAAATCTAAATATATTGTATGCATTTTGTCTTTGAGATAAGGTTTTAATTTTTTAGTGGTACAGGTCATACTAATTACGATGCCTCCGAATCGACCGTGTGTCCACAGCCACTTTACGTCGTCGCCTCAGTCTCCGTCCTCTTCCACCCGTCCTGCTCCAGCGTCGTCTCCGATGGTTCGGACATGCAGCTCGACGATCGGAGGGAGAGCTCATCTGCGATGTACTTCTCCCTCCTTCTCTTCCTGGGTGGCGAAAACGTGTCGGTGGGCAGCTGAGGACGTGGGCTAGCACAATCAAGGATGACCTAGCAGTACTATCGGGTCCACAAGTAGTTGGTCTTCGATGATGGAATCGCGATTGGCTCGCCATTTCTTGTTACCTGGCTCAGGATCTGCGAACGTGGGCAGCGATGGTCGGTGATGCTGTACTTGCTCGTGAGGAAGCCGGTTCAACCCGACCGTGGTGAAAACCGATACAAGTCATGTCAAAGTGTATCGGCCAATTCGTTTAAGACTTCTGGCCTTATTAAATAGAAATGGCGGTTCTTGTACAATCCCCGAAGCAACGTCAGTACGCAGTGGTGTTTTCATTTGGGAATGCCCACTGCTGTAAGCTTGGATGTACAGATGGTGAAATAGATAACGACTTAGAATTGTTAATCGGATAGTCAACTTCTAATTTCAATCGGGTTTGTTGTATTCACTTACGCGTAAATAACATTACGATAATCATGATCCCATCTTTATCAACCAAGTTATGGGTTATTTAATATGAATTGTATCAGGAAATAATTATGAACTAACAAAATTAATTCAATCTTTTGTGATGTCAACGAACACCCGTAGCCACTTTTATGATGTCAACGAATATTCGTTGTCATTTACGGAATGCTCATTGAAGTAGAGACTTTGTAATCGCCGATGCAACTGTAGTACGCCGTTGAACAGTGTTGGTGCCAGACGCCTTCGAATAATCTCGCACTAATAGTACTTGCTCGATAATACTCGCTCGAAAGTAACCACGGTATAGTGATCTGAATAGAGAAATAATCTAGTGATGTTTTTGTAGAGAATAGCGGTCCGTATCGTAATAAAGGATAGAATAGAAATGGAGATCCGAATAATAATAGAGGATAGAATAGAAATGGTGATCCGTATAGAAATAGAGTATAGAATAGAAATGCGATAGGTTGGACGTTGGGCGACTTCCTATATATGTGTTTCCTCTATGGTCACGTAGTCTAATTAATTCAATAATGGGATCGCCTGTATTTGGATTTAGGTAAAGTGCTCGAAATCAATTGCTCGACAGTAAATTTCTCGAAATCAATTGCTCGAAAAATAATTTCTCGAACTATCAATTCCTCGAAAAGAATATTGCTCAAAGTAATTTCGAAGCTCGAAGCACTACGTAAACTGTGCCGTCTCACGACACTTCAACTGAGCTGGATATAAAAGGAGCCACAACACTCAACTTTAGCAGTCCTGATTTTTTTTTTATATATTTGTTTTCTATTTCTATTTCAGTAATTTTGGAGATCACGAACCCTTGTGATGGACATACATTTTGTTGAAAGTTGTGTTTGGATGGATATCTATATATTAAGGACAAAACAGTGAACAATAAGATTTACTGGAAATGTGAAAGATGCAAAAAAAGTAAATGCTTAACACATGTTATCACTGTCAATGATACTATCCAGAAACGAAACGGGAATCACAAACATGCAGGAAATGCCGCTGAAATTGATGCCGCAAAAGCCACGGAGAAAGTGAAAGTGAGAGTTTTCAGTTAACAACAATAAAGTTGTATTATTTTATCTTATAGTAAATACTAGCAGTAGAGCCTGGCATTGCCCGGGGATGTAACAGTAAGAGATAGATCAAGTATCCACCATCATAAAGACTGAAAAATAAAATTGACAAAGATTATTGTTTAAGGTTGACAGACACGCATGTCTTAATTAGTTTTTTTTTTTTTTTACTAATTGGTCAAACCCAAACTCAAACAAAAACATTGTTTTCAATTGTTATGAGTCTACTGATTGAATAGAATTTTATTATAAACAATTGTCTTGTAAATGGAATTTTTAAAGCCTTCTGAATGTAAAAATAAAGAAAAAAGTGTGCAAGAGAATAAGAAACATTACCTGCCAAAAAAAAGGGAAGTTTTGATTTATCGGCTGAAAAATATAGGAAATCCGCTCCAATATTTAAAGTAACCCACACACACAAACAACCCGATGTGAGTTGTCCCCCTTCCATTTTCACGATGTCTCTTAATTGATTTTGTGCAAAAACAATTATATTTTTCCCATTTTTGGCGCTGTTAGAACCACCACAAGGTTTTATGTAGTCCTGTGAAGTTTTGTTGAAATCGGTTGAAAAATGTAGAAATCCGGTCCAATATATAAACGTTACACACACACACACACACACACACACACACACACACACACACACACACACACACACACACTGCGTTTTATAATAAATAAGATTAGAAAAAATGTTTTTTTCATTTTTTTTTTAACCACAGTTTTCGAGCAAACTGCCTTTCGAGCAATTGATAGTTCGAGAAATTATTTTTCGAGCAATTGATAGTTCGAGAAATTATTTTTCGAGCAATTGATAGTTCGAGAAATTATTTTTCGAGCAATTGATAGTTCGAGAAATTATTTTTCGAGCAATTGATAGTTCGAGAAATTATTTTTCGAGCAATTGATAGTTCGAGAAATTATTTTTCGAGCAATTGGTAGTTCGAGAAATTATTTTTCGAGCAATTGATTTCGAGCAATTTACCGGATACCACTGTGTTTGCTCGCTAGCGATCTATGTTCAAATCCACTGACGACACTTTATACCTATATAACTCAATCCAAAAATAAAATTCCATTTTTAAAGAACATGTCTGGTTTTGTGACATACTTCTATTTTAATATCTGTTCTGTTTGTATTATTCTATTTTTCAGTGTATCGAATCGATAGAAAAATGGCAAAGAAGAATAAAGACTACGATCAGTATCTTTGTAGTCATTTATTTCGATCGGTTATGTTTGCCTATCATCCTGTTCACATTTCTCCCCGGTCTCTTGAAAAGATGTAGACATCTATCTCTTGTTTCCTATTTAGGATTGGCCATCTGATTCCTTCTAAAGTTTTCTCATTCTCTTTCACTCTCAGTAGCTCCTTGTATCTGAGTAGATTTATCAACTAGTTAGGGCTGAATTTAAAAAAAGGTAAATAGTAAAGTATTATTATTTTTTAAAAACTAGCCAGCACAGCCAAGCAAAGATGATATAAAGATATATCAATGGACCGATTCGAATTGATTTATTTGTTCAAAGACATATCAACTCCTTATGGATCATTAAATGCCACAATTTAATTTTCTTGGGAGTTTTCAAGTAATAAAAACATGATACATGTTCTGCTTTCACAATTGGATACATGGTAGATGATACTCAGTTTTTATTCATATACATGTTTGTGTGGTCATTTCAAGAGGGAGTAATAACTGTGTTTTATGCTGTTGTATTTTCTATTGCAGTTAGATTTAAGAATTTGGGGGATACTATGTGGATTAAAATCATGAAAGAGTTCTTTCATAGTGTATTGTTTGGGGTTCACGATTTGCCCCAAACTGGGACCCTAACGGATGCTACAACGCCGTGGAAATGTGGAACTAGGGACAACAGCAATTAAGAAGTGGTTCCACACTTCGCAAAAGCTCCAATCTTTCAATTAGAAGATTTGTTGCCACATGTAATTTTTCCATATTCAGGATTATGCAGCAATGGAAAAGTTAATAAAAATCTAAAATGAAAACTTTCGACAATTTGAATAATTGTATTTTTATGCTAAAAAGCATTAGATTGTCTTTTGAATAGGAACACTTGTAAATACGTATTTTGTAAGTAAGTTCTGCGGACACAATATATTCTATCTCTCAAATGACATTCCTTTCTTGATGATATAGAAAATATTAGGATGACATATTTTTTTTTATAACACACATTTCCAGTAAGGACACATGCTAATCTGTGCATTCTTCTCTATTGAAAGTGAAACCTTTTCCTCCAAAACTACTATATACGGAACAAACGTATCATGTCTCCTTTACTAAAAACACGGTTTTATTGACTTATTTTTTAGTTGTTAGGTTTACCAAATTCATTACAAATTCTTTAAAGCAAGACTATATTTAGATACTCAGAAATTTTTGAGATAATAAAGGTTTAGTGATACAACTTTTATTAATTAAGCCAAAATTTGGGGGAGAAGTGGTAGATTCATACCTTTCCTAAATATGTGAATAAACGAACTCACCGGGAATTGGAACTAGGCTCTCCAATTAAAAATTTCGTGCCATTACCCACTGCATCGCCCACACGTTGAAGGTTACAACACATGGTGTTCCCAAACGATCACCCATCTAGGTACTGATGAGGCTCGAAGTTGCTTAACTTCGGTGATAGTACGGAAACTATGCTTTAATACTGAAGGATCGAATAGTAAATAAATATATAACGTGAAAAAATTCAGCTTCTACACTGATAAGATTTCTATCCGTTTTGATATATTTCTTTCTAATTTCATGACCTAAGAAATTTGTGATCTAATAATTAGTCGCGAAAAATACTTTAATATCACAGAATTATATTTCAAATCCTGCTTTGAAGTAACAGATAAGTCGGCTGCAATTTTGTATCTTTCATATTATTTATTTATATATATACATTTATTTTAGTTAACTATATTTTCCAAATAATGTGATGTTCATTCAGGTCGTCACTCATTAGGGTTTTCCAAAGATCATATTTTTTGTATCTATGAATTCCCAAGTCTTGTTCGAAAAAGACAGTGAAATGCATTTCCATTACTCTCACCATTTTTTTATTGTAAATATAGATTAGTTTTACTAATCAGGGCTCTACCCAATTTTATAGGTCTCAGAAAACCCCTGTTATATGAAGGGATAAGTTCCTGTATTTATAAAAGGAATATGAGCGAAAGAGAACGTACCAGAATTTGAAATGTTCGCCAGTTATACTTTCTGTTAAGTTACCCACAAAAACCAGGTTTATGTATTACTGATCAGTTCTACTATATGACTGTGAATACTGGACTAATTACTCAATGATGAGATGAAAACAACAGAAATAAGTTTCCATAGACATGTGCTGAGAATACTAAGGACTGAGCGTGTAACCAACAAAGAAAACTAAGGATAATGAAAACAAAAAAAAACACGTTTTTTTAAGCATTTCACCCCACGCAAGGCAAGATGCCACGAGCACGCAAGTGGGTGCAGGATGCTACCAGCACTCAGAGAGTGCGAGCGAGATTAAAGAGGCGTGAGAGGAAAGGATGAAGAGAAGGATAGGAAATAGATCAAGGCATATGGAGGTGTCGATTGGCATTTCATTTGAATAGTTGGAAATTATAGCTAACAGGGTAACAAGTAATAGGAAGGGAATTCCACAGACAAGAGGTGCGAGACATGAAGCTATTAGAGTAGAAGAGATGGCTACATCTAACCTTTTCGACAGTGAAAAGGTCGGACCGAGATGCCAGCCGAGTAGTACGCTTAAATTCAAACAGTCTGGGAACTAGCGAAAGTGGCTCGTAAGAGCAGTTACCGTGAAAGCATTTGTAGAAAAGACAGAGGGAGGCAACGGACATATGCCTCTCTGGTTTTTTTATCGAGTACGTTAAGGCGAATAGCGAGAGCACCAGACCATATATGGCAGCAGTATTCCATGCAAGGACGAATGATTGATTTATAGATTTGAAGGATGAACTCGGGCCAGAAAAACTTTCTGGCGTGACACAGGGAACCAACTTTCATTGCCGTAGATGAAGCTATTTGATTCAATGTAATTGATCCATCTCAGGTCAGCGGACAGTGTGAGACCAAGCTGTCGTAGAGAGGTGCTCTCGGGGAGATGAGCATCAGACATTCTAATGGGAGGCAGGGAGGGTTCTCTGTAGCGGGTAATAGATAACAATTTTGTTTTTGAGGCATTAAAGTTAACCAGCCAATTCCTGCCCCAGTCAACAACTGAGTAGAGGTCTTCTTCAGGACTAACGGGCAGGTTATTTTTGTCAGCGATATCAGATTTGCTTTTGAAGCAGGAGCAAATAGCAGTGTCCTCTGTATAGATGCCTACTTGGCAACTGATAACATCGGGAAGTTCGTTAATGAAGATGAGGAACAAAGTAGGTCCCAGGGAAACACCTGCATTCGAGTGAAAGGAACTGGAGGACGTACTCAGAAACAGAGACAGCTGGAATTTCTTGGCTTTATAATGAAGACAGCGGGCTTGAAAAATGTGACACTCATAACACATGTTAAACACTAAAATAAGAGTTAGAGCTGGAGTTATTTCCCTTTAAGTCCAATCCTTTTTCGTTGAATATTATTATGTGTAACTCATTTCATCACCTATTAACGATTAATTAGGATGGTATATTCGTCACTAAAATATGTTTCAAAAATACAAAATTTACTGATGTCTCACCTAATCTTAGTAAAGCACATGCTGGAAATAGGGTCAGTGCGCTGTATCGCTCCAGTAAATGTTTGAATCTCCCAGATACGCTCTAACTTTAAAAGAGTCAGAACAGACCAAAAATTGTGTAGTATTGCAATTTCTGGTTATAAGCTCCCCAGTTCTCTCATACCTATCTTGATTTAGTTCAGAAATGCCTACGCGGACTTGTGGGTGATGAATTATTTTCCACTATATCACCTTTCCCACAGAAGAAACGTCGCCAGCTTCTCGCTTTTTATTGTTATTTCCATGGCATGTGATTTGACGAGCAACATTCATTAGTAACACCTGTATTGGTATTTACAAACGTCACCCATCAGACAAGCGTGAATTACCCCAATTGAATTCATGTTTCTATAGTGAGACGTTAGTTCTGCTCGGCCAGATTTTCTTCTAAGAATTGCTGCTTTCTGGAAAAGACTGCAGAGAGATTTTTTTCCCAGTCAATATAATCGTGACCTCTAATTCTATGGTTAACCGTTATCTTTCCCCTAAACAGATGATCTTTACTTGTCGCCTTTTCTTACGCTCATACAACGCAACAGAATAAGCCTCTACATTGAGTGGCGCTTGGGCCCTGTTTAAGGTTAATATTAGTATTAAAAACAAAGTTGAAAATGTCTACTGGATAGTTATCATATTCTTACGGTGGTAAGTCAACATTCGAAATTTTTGGTTCTTATCTGCGTTCTAATATGGTTTTGAAACATACAGTCGGTGTTCAATTTAAAAATTTCTCATCTCCGAGGTAGATCCATATTGAAAAGTGTTTCTATTCCAAAGCCAATTAAATACATCTCAAACGGAATAAATAAATACATAAAGACTAAATAAAATATATAAACGGAAACATTTTTGTCGAAAGAAAAAGATCTACCAATTACGCTATGCTAAATTTTATTCGTTTTTTCTATGTGCGGCCTGTCAACATCTGTTACTACTTATCTATAGCATTTTTTTCTTTACATATCTGTTGTCAAAGTCCAATACTTGCAGAACGTTTAGTCTCATACTTAAGCTTTAATCAATGAAACGTCAAAATCGTACATGTCAAAGCCATAATGTCATAAAAGCCAGGAGGCAAGGGAAATTCGAATATTTCTGAAGTTTGGTGTAAATGACAATTGAAAAAAATATATTTTGGTTGGCGAGACGACTTAGGTGAAAGATCTTTTTAAAACACATACAGAAACATACAATCATACACACACGCACGTCAGTGCGCACACAGAGACTGATTCTATGAACGCAGACGAGTAAACAAGACACACAAAATAATCTGATTCCAAAACATTTTTATTACAAATGGTGACCTGTTAACATTTTAACGAATATTTCACGTACGAGGGGGAAAAAAACTTGTGCTAAACATAGGGATCTCGTATTTTACAAAATATGTTGAACACGCAGATATACAAAATCACAAAGACCCTCAAATACATATCCAAACACACAGATCAAAACACAAGAATTTAGAAGATGCAGACGTATATTTATTCACAAATACCAAGAGACAAAAGAAAAAAGAATTTATAAATTTCAACAGAAACTCTTACGTCCTTCTCGGAAAGCAAATGCAGAAATTTTCCTCATAAAAAAAAAGTTAATATTAACATTCTCATGCTAACATTAATACCTATAAATAAAGGCCAGACAAGTGAATTATTTCCGAAATTTCTTCCCCGGTGGCAAATATTCCTTTCCGGTTTATTGTCTCGAAAATATCGAAATTTGATATATTTTTGTTAAATTGTCTATTTAATATTTAATATAAAACAGCATAAATGTTATAGAACTATTAGCATATATAAGTGACTTTTTGAAATATGCATGTGTAAAGTGAAATTCCCTCACCGATGTCTCCAAGTAGACAAAAGCGTTGGTTGGGTAATATATATCACCTGAAGCAGGTCAGGTTGGGCAACGGTCGAAATGTCGTGAATATGGCAATAAAGATGAGGACAAGAATCCGCCTGATATAAATAGTGTAAATGGGTATACATCATTTTGCAATTTCCTTACTCTTTCTATTATCATTCGGATGCAATTTCTAGTGTCTTTAATGTAACAACACAATCCATGCTTTATTTCCAGTCTAATACGGCCACGTTAACTAATCATCAGAATATTTATTTACAAGGGTTATCAATATGATTTTGTAATCAAGTTTGCATTCATTTACACCTGCATTCTTCGGCAGCGCTATAAAGAATTACCTGCTAAGGTTTTCCGGCACTAGCCTATAAGTAATCTCATGCAACATGAAAACTTCTATTCCAGTCGGATTCGTTAAACTTCAGTCAGTTAATTTCCATACGTGATACACGCTTGGCTGATTATGTATATTTTGATGATTGACTAAGCAGACAATTTCCTGCTGTTTCTTTCTGCGATAGACTGGGTGATAAGCAAAGCTCAGGACCCAATCTTTTTTGCTTTTTAAGAAAAAATGGATTCATTCCTTTCCCAAAGATATTTGCGTATAAGTCAATGTAAAGAACCCAACATCAATTCGAACACCACACGATTGCTTTTACTTGCGCACAAACACCCTTGTGAAATGTATGACATCATGTCCTCATATTCATTTATTGGTTAAATACTAGGAATTTACGCTGGTAAACCATCATTATTCTCCAAAAACCGTTAATGGACTATTTGCTCACAAAAGAAAAAATGAACAATCAAAAACATGTTTCGACTTAAAATAATCCATACAACTGATGAACACTAAAACGATTAAGAAAATAATCATTCCCACACTCAAAACGAATTGCACATTGCAATTCTATCTAATCCTTTTGGTTAGCTCAAGATCCTATTCTCCTGTGTCGACCACACCTCAGATCATTTGTAAATTTCCATGTTTCCTATCGGAAGTTATTTTTCTTTCTGCTGTATTTATTCTATATTTGAATTATTTTATTTTTTCTATTAGAAG